AGGAGGAGGAGGAGGAGGAGGAGGAGGAGGAGGGGGAAGAGGAGGAGGAGGAAAAGGAGAGGAAAAGAGGAGAACAACAACAAAAAACAACAACAACGACGACGACGACGACGGCAATACGACAACGATGACGATGACAATAACAACAACAACAATAATAACAACAACGACAATAACAACAATTGCCATTACAATTACAAGTATATTCATTATCGTAACCTCTCTTTTCGGGCGTTGACTCACTTACCTATTGTCAACAAGTACGTGCGGCATATTCATAAGCGTGGAGAGGATATGTCCATGCAGTCTGTCTGTCACAAGCACACGGCCACGAGACAAGAAGTTGAACCCCTCAACTGACACATAAAAAGCTTTTTCTAAACTGGTAGGGGCGTCGTTAGTTTTCCAGCTCCACCAATCAGAGACGTGGAAGCGGACGTCTGAAGGATGTTCTGGAATAGAACCATAATTCGGTGCTTCATAATCAATTCGCTTGATCCACATGACATCAAACACAGGGGACTGGAATCGGTTAACGTTGCCAATCTGAAAGGCAATATCAGGTGCCAAGAGAAGTTTCGTTTTGCCCTTGAAGTGTTCCTTGGCGAAGCTGTACGTCTGTAAATCACGAAGAACAAGGGTCAAATTTTCGTTGCAGCAGTATTCTCTTTCGCACAGTTTTACGTGTTCATCCTGAGCGTTATTGTAAAATATGCTCTGAGGAAACAACAAGAAGTGGTAGCCAGCGAAAAGATCCATCGTCTTGAAACGAAAGAAATCATTAAACCTGTAGCCAACCAAATTCCCTCCTCCGTGAAAGAGAACGACGAGTTCATCAGGGGAATAGTTGGCAGCCAACTTGCGGGCTTTTCTCATGTTTTCGTCTGTGCAAGACAGGGAACTACAATAATATACTACCGGCAAGTTAATGCGAGCTAGGAACAGAATCTCGCCCACGGTGATACAGGGGTCGCCTTTGTTTTCAAAATCGGCGATATCAAAGAGCATTGCAGCTTTGTACTTTTTCAGAACATCCCCGATGATGTTGAAATGAAGTCGTTGGGATTCCCGGATTATCTCCCCAGGAGTCTTTAACAATTGGGATAAAAATACCGCTCTCTCCGGGTTGTTGACCAGTGGCTCCTGAAGAAACGCTTGAATTTCCTCTCGGTACGGCTGAAGGTACCCCGTGAGGTCTGGCTCTAGTTCTGAATCAGGCGGCCGCCGATACGCTTGAGGGCAGTGTGTGCAGAAAGGAACTTCATCGGTCTGAAATGCACCATTTTGGTCATTGGTCTCCACTCTCACCATGTCTCCGCCTTGAGCAACAAAGTACAAGTCATTTGTGGATCTTCTGACTTTTTCCATTGATTGAGGCTGGACTAGCATTATGCAGAACATCATGAATATTGGGAGGAAGAGAAGTTGTCGTCTCGTGATCCTAAGTCTTGTCAACGTCCCTAAATGAGAAAAGTACAAAACATCACTTTAAACATGTGCTCAGGCAATGACACACTTTTCTTATAATCTATCATCTGTTCATATATCTACTTTTCCATCTGTTGGTGAACTTATCTATCTATCTATCTATCTATCTATCTATCTATCTATCTATCTATCTATCTATCTATCTATCTATCTATCTATCTATCTATCTATCTATCTATCTATCTATCT